GCCCCTCAAATACTGGAATACTATTATGTCACCCCTAGTTTTTCTTTTCTCTAGACTAGTCATACCCAATTACTGCAACCATTCTTCCAATGTTTTTATTTCCAGGCCTGTAATTATCTTAGTTGCTCTTCTCTGCACTTTTTCCAAAGTCTCAACATCTTTCTGCAACATGGTGCCCAAAACTGGATGCAGTATTCCAGGTGTGATCTTATTAAGGATTTATAAAGCGGTACTAATACTTCACATGATTCAGACACTTAGCAACTGACATATATGTATAAGGGTTGCAATGACCCAGAGTCAAATGATCACTTTTTGTGACCTTCTGACAAGCAAAGTCAACTGTGAAGCCAGATTTACTTAACAATGTTATTAAGTTAACATCTGTAGTAATTTGCTTAAGAACTGTGACAAGGAAGATTGTATGGGACACAATTCACTTGTCTCGCTTAGCAACAAAAAATTTGGGCTCAGTTGTGGTTGTAAATTGAGGACTACCTGTAATATTTTACAAACTTAAAATTATCTACCTTATATTCATTTTATCATGTCATTTTCCAATTACAAAGAAGTATGACCAAGATTTTTTTATGACATTCCAAAAGATGTTTTAGAGCTTACATCAGCTCCTTAACCTTTGTATTAGGATGTTACGACTGTAGTAATTTCCTGCTAGTTGTACTAATACCTAGCATTGAGAACATATTCAAATAAAAATAGTGAGAAATTTGAAAATGTAAATGAGTAAGAGATCAGTTTATTATCCAATTACAGTATTATTTTAGCAATATACTAGTTCTCAGAATTTCTAATCTCCTTCATTATCAAGTAAAAAAAACCAAAAGCAACAGAATACAATATTGTGACCCTCTCATAGATGACTTACTTGTATTAGATCTAAAATGCCAAGTTCACTTTCTGAAGAATCAACGCAGAAAACAAAATATAATGTAGCATAATGGCGATATATCAATTTGTTGTCAGATCCACCTATTAATCTAAAACAGAATACAGTGTCAAAGAGCAATTAACAACATTCCAATGGTCTTGGTTGGTAGCTAAGAAAGAAAAACAGGACGCATAATTATTGCAAAAATAATAATGAAGGGTGTCAAAGGCAACACATTAATGTTCAAAGCATTTAAACATATTAGTAGATAGATCTTCTAAGACAGGTTTTACAATGGGATTGATGATCTTTTTGCAGCCAGGGACCGCAAGTTTTTTAGAAATACATTATCTTAAACACATGGGAGAAACAATAATTAAATCTTTGGTGGGGGTGGTTTAAGTAAAACAGAAACAATATGCCTTAGCTCAGTGTTGGTGAACCTTTTTGGCACCGAGTGCCGAAACGGGAACGCATGCACGCAGGAGTGCCAAAAACCGGAAGAGCAGCTCCCAGGCACACACGTGTGGGAGCACGGAAACTGGAAGAGCAGCTCCTCCAGTGTACATGCACGCAACGGGAAGCTGAGCTTCCAGTTTCCAGTGTGTGAATACCCGCCAGCCATCTGGTCTTCTGGTTTCTGGCACGCATGCGCACGTGAAGATCAGCTGGCACATCAGAAACTGGAAGGCCAGCTTCCAGGTGTGTGCATGCATGCCGGGGAGCTGCTCTTCCAGTTTCCGGCACTCTGCATGCGAAGACCAGCTCTGCATGCCACTTCCAGCATGCGTGCCATAGGTTCACCATCACGGCCTTAGCTTAAACTTAACTGTTGGGTTCCTTTTATTTTAAGCAGGAAAGGATTGTGCTGGCACAATTTGGTAGTTTGTTGTTAAATGTCAGACCTAACTCTGAGAGCTGGAGTAGTAGACCACATGCAGGTTATCATTTTCTATCTCATTGAACAAAAAGATGCAAATATATGGAGAATCAATCAATAATATTCAAAAGTTGTTGTGCACAAGGCAGCTATTCAACAAGGGTATTATATCGTGTTTACAACACAATAAAATATGAAAAAATAGAAAGTTCTTAGACAAGATCTAGAATGACTAAGAGACTGAATCTGCAAATTGAGTGCTAATGAGGATTTAAGATCTCACAATAATAGTCTAACCAAACATTTACATGTTTTTCAATAAAGGAGTTCAACTATGTCAATCCCTGTGACTTAAGGTTCAGATTCTGCTTCCAGCTAATGGTATCAGAAAAGTGTGAAAGAACCCAAATGCCATGTTTCCAGTTGTACAGGTTCCATATTTCTTTCTCTCAATCTTTTTATGTCTATACTGTACATCTCCAGAACAGGGTTTGGTAAAGTATCAGGCTAGGTATAGATTAGTTTTCTGTTTCATTTTATGTTACTACTTTAGATAAACTCTCAACACCATGTATATATTGCAATGAGTCTAGCTTCTAATTTGATCATACTTACAAGCCTCCTTCTAAGAAATTACAAACATTTTCATCACGTTTTGATACTAAATGGAATGTTTCTCTGATAATCTGTTGTTGTATATCTTCACTCTGAAAATAAAGGAAACATGTTGTTTCCAAATACAAGCATTCCTGTGTCATCATATATAACACTACAACTTTTATAACAAAAACATATGTATTAAAAATGTAAACATCCTATTGCCAGTGATGCTAGGTGATTCAAAAGTAAAAATATTTTCTTTGCAAAGGAAAGGGACAAAAATAAATGACAAGTATCAGACAGGAATGAAAAAGAAACAACCACACTCAACCCAAGGGGGCATTATTCACGCTTGCAAAATGCCTTGGGAAGAGCTTAAATAGCCACTGAAAAGCTGTTGTGTTGTCACAGTTAATGCCAGACCAGACCCAAACAGACTTATGTTAAAACCTTCAAAAAATTCATTGACTCATTGTGGGACTTTAAACACTTTGGAATGCTGTTCCAGATGAAAATGTATGCTGTACTGAGCATTTGGAGGAAAGTTCAAATGTAATATTTTATGTTTACATTATATAAAATTATATCTTATAAACTTAGTGAATCAGATTTTCTATTCAATATCCAGATTTGTTCCAATGTTGGGTAAATCCTTTGGAACAGATTTAAGCGGATATGTCAAGTTCTTGATCATTCTATTTAATACTCCCCATAATATTTTTCATATTTTTTAATTTGTGGCCACTAAGCCACTTTTGATAGCAGATCTAGTTTAACCAGAATAAGTAAAGATGTTGTAATAAAAGTTTTGTGTAAACAGTCCAGAGTCACTTTGGTAAGAAGGGCAGTGTAGAAGCTTAACATATAAAGATCTACTGTGAAAACCCTTGCTCTATCTCCATGCTCCTGCTTAATTCCTAAAAAACATATTTTCACATGTAGCCACTCCTTTAGGAAGCTAGCATACATTCATGATTTATTGCATATCCATGTTGCTAATCAGAACTGGCATATTTACATAACAAAATATTCACATATATTATCCACAGTTGGTTACATGTGCATTTTTCTATATATCGGCCAAGCCACATTATATCAATTTTAACAGAAAATAAGCAACTCTTTGCATTTCTCTTTGGTAAACATGCATTTGCTGTTGTTTTCTCTCTCCCATCAGGTACCTAATAGCAGCAAGCTAAACACTCAACTTTTTAATTTATAACAATGCGCAGGAGCAACTTGAACAATCCAAATGCTGGCTAAGCATTGTATATCATCAACTTGAAAGAAAGCTTTAGTTCTCAGGCAACATGAGAAGTTCATTGCATCCAACCAGGTTCTCCTGTTTACTACCTTACCTTTAAAAAAAAAAAAAGCTTCAAAGTTGTTGCAATCAGATTACAACCTGTATCATTCCCAACCCATTTGGCCAATGGTGAGACGTTGGAAGCTCCAGGTGGGCAAAGTTGCACAGCAACCTGGCTGGGAACAACAGGAGCTGCAATCCCCAAACGTTTAGAAAACACCAGATTGCTACAGCGGTCATATATTTATTTCAAAAAATGTTAGTTAGATTTACTTTTTTTTTTTTACTGTTTTGACTTTGCTCTTTAATTTTCCTTCGTAAAGCGAAGTTATAAACACAAATCCATATCTTTACCCTTCTTGAACCTCCTTCAGATTTGCCCCTGTTCAGGTGTGTCCTTTATTTTTTCCCATTCAAATGCGGGCACTTGCACGTATCAGAAACAACCGCTCTTAACTCAGCTGCTGCTTCTGCAGTTCGTGCAACCTGAGATCCGCCGTTATCTTTTCCGTCTCTCGCGCAGAGCCCTTAAGAACAAGCCACTAGATAAGAAACCCTGAAGGATCCGACGGGGGGGGGGGGATTAGCGCTATTGCACACGTAAACATCTAGGCCAAAAGCCCCCCCTTCCGTCCTTTCCTCCTAGAGCCGAATCGGGTTCCTTAATCTTGCGCTGGTCGCAAGACGAAGGCTTTTGAGGGGAGGCTTTTCAGCCTGCTTAGCACTGACTTCCTCGTTACAGCGTCGAGTCATTCCCAGCCCAATCCGCGCCTTCAGGCGACTTGGACGGAGCCCGTTTCCTGGGCTCGTCCCGAATGATAAACCCACCGCCTATAAAAGCGGGTGGCTAATTAATGGTTTTCCGGGCGTCGTGCGAACGCAGCCCCTTTCCCCTCAGCCATCCAAAGGCCGGCCTCTTCCCCTCCCGACACTCACATAACGCTGGTAGAATTTGGAAAGGCGCGGCTTCCCATGGTTGTTGAAAATGAGGATCGCCTTAATCATGGTGAGGGCGGCGGTTGACGACCCCCCCAACTGAGGCGCGAGGAGGGGGGCGTTCGCGTACCCCACTTTGCGGCGCGCGACACGGCAGAAGAAGCTCCTCCCCTGCTCCGCTCTGTCCCCACCCTCTCTAAGCCCCGAGCGACCGAAGGCGGAGTCAGAGACAAAATCGTTCTAAGGACCGGCGGCCGAAGGAGAGCGTCACTTGACTAACTCGGGATAACGGCGGCCGGGAAGGACCAAAAAAAAACAAAAAACCCATCGAAGGCTGAACTCACCGTCACGTGCTCTTAATGTCAGATGTTGACAAAGGGACGGGGAGGGGCGCCACTTCCGCTTTTGCATCACTATGTCGGAGACTAGCGAGAAGCCGGAAGAGCTGCCGGTTGCTGCGGCTCCCGGCTGTTCTCCTGAGGAGGGGGGCCGAGGGGAAGGTGGGGAGGAAGAAACCTCGGAAAATGGAGGAGGAGCCGTTGCGGTAGGGGCGCTCGACGCGACTCCCCCCTCGGCTCTTTCCCCGGTGACCGAAGAACCTACGGGAGATACGAAGAAGAAAAGTAAACCGGCGGGATTACCTGGCGGGGCGGGGGGGAGAAACTGGCGGTCGTGGATATCGCAGCCTTTTTTCACGATCCCAATTTCCTGTTGATTGTTCCAATCTCCGCTTTGTGATTCCCAGAGGCTGCAGGAAAATGTTCCCCCCCTCCCCGATCTAGGCCTCCTTATTATACACATTTTGCTTATTTAGGGACTGAGAAAGTTAATAGTGGAACTTTACTGGTTTGACTGACACTATTCATAGATGCCAGGTTCCTCTTAAATTCTTCTCTAGCTGTTGTTTAAATTAGTTAATTTTAAAAAACCTATATAGTTAAAAGCACAATGTACAAACATAGGACCATATGTAAAGCACCTTCTAGCCATTATCATGGAGTAGTGTCCGGAGCCCTTTGAAAAATTGCTAATTTGCATCTTTCAAATGAAGAGAAGCTGTTAAATGCATGTCAATATGTTGCATTTTATTAGATTTTAGAATTACTTATTTCTTGGAATGTGCAATGTCCATTTTATAATCTGAAAGAATGCCATATACTTCATTGTGACCTTAATCCCATTTCAGCTTGTTTGTATTTTAAATTGGCAAAAGAGACCATCCCTGTTTACTTGCAGTTGAAGGATAAGCTGAGCAAGATTAAGAAAGATGATGGTGGGGGTTGTATTACTCTCTTGCATTTGGAATTTATCACTATCACAAATCCATTAGGCTATATTATTACAGGTTGTCAGTAAGCAGCCTTTGCAACTCCATTTTATTTTATAGTTTTAGTAGCAATTCTGTATGTAACTGAGCTGGTTATTTATTTTATAACTATTTTATTAATAAATATTTTATTTATTGTCATGAGATTTATCTTGGTTTTATCTTCTAAACATATATTGTAAATAGAGTAATACAAATTAGCATAATAAGCCATTGGGAACCAGTTTGGTATAGTGGTTCAGACAGCCTAGAAACTGGGAGACTAGGATTTCTAAATTCTGTCTCCAGCATAAAGTCAGTTGGGCAACTTTGGGCTTGTCATTTTTTTTCCCTGCCCCAGGAAAGAGGCAATGGCAAACCTTGGTCTAAAAAACCATTAGTCTAGGACTCAAGGTTCCAGGACTAGTCCAGGGAGTCTCTGAGAATCTGATGTGACTGAGTAGAAAAAAAGAAAATTATAGATTATAGATTCATCTCTATAGCCCATTCTGTATTTTTGAGACTTCATTCAGTATACATTAGCATATATCATGTTTGATTTTTCAGTTTTTCATATACAATGTGTTCTGTTTTCTAGTTGATGTGTTGCTCAAAGCTGTTGGAGATACTCCTATAATGAAGACCAAGAAATGGACTGTAGAAAGAACTAGAACAATACAAAGTCTAATTGACTTCATCAAAAAATTTCTCAAACTTTTGGCATCTGAACAGCTGGTATGTAATTATGTTCTCTTGCTTAAATAAGAAACTGAAGGAAAGCATATCTTTAAAAAAAATCTGAATATGACTGCCAAAAGTGGTTATATACTGTATAGTGCCATCCCATTTGAAACTATTATGTAGATAAAATTCATAGAGGTCAGTTTCCTTATGGCATCAAAATTTGTTGTGGCTATAAAAGATTCCCCAAGCTAAGCTCATGTCACTAGCTTAAAATTCATATACTGCAGGACAATAAAACAGTATGCACTATCAGATATGGGAATAAAGATGGAGATTATTTTGGACTTGTTTGCCATACTAGTCCATGTCACACAACTTTCTGAATGATTAAAAGTTAATTGGTCTCCGTTTTCTGATTTTGTCCCATAAAACTAAACTCTTTGGTTTTAAGAGTTAGGTTTTATTTTATGTTGATTGATGGAAACCTTACATAGCATTTGTTGGCACTTTGGCTCTGTTCCCAGAATCAAGATAGAGAAAAGATCCTGACAATTATTGCCCAAATCATTTATTAAAAATGGTTAACAAAATTACATATTAAACATCTTTGTGTAATGCTATTGATGAAGATTGGTAGGAGAGGAACAAATAGGACTTAGACTGAAGGATTCCTTCATATATAAAGTGGTAACTTTACATCATCTCGTAGTGTTTGTATATGGTCTGAGCATGCTTTTATATATACTCTCAAGTCTTAGTCTTGAAAGCAATTATGGGAAAAATCTGATGAAAATTTTTTAACTGTTTAATTATTTTTACTCCAACTCTAAGTAAGCCATGGGTTAGAATGCCATTTAGAATGCCAGGAGCCATGGTGGCACAGTGGTTGGAATACAATATTACAGGCTAACTCTGTCCACATCCTGGAGTTTGACCCTGACTGGCTTAAGGTTGACTCAGTTTTCCATCCTTCTGAGGTTGGAGGACCCAGATTGTTGGGGGCAATACGCTGACTCTGTAAACTGCTTAGAGAGAGGGCTGTAAAGCACTGTGAAGCGATATATAAGTCTAAGTGCTATTGCTGTTTAACCTACCTGGTTAGAAAGTCATTGGGTTGAAACAGGGATATGCTTTTGTCCTGCTTATAAGTTAACTTACACATTAATGTTTCACCTACCTAAGCTTGCTTAATGGCCTGCTCCACACCTTCCCTATGCTAGTAATAGGACCATTCTTTGGGGAACGGAAGTGGGATTGAAAAAAGCCTTATGTTCATTTGTCCAGTGTTGTGAAGTAGAAAGTTTACAAATTAACTTCCATAAAATCAAGATTGTGGTATTTGCCAAGAAGGTCAAGGAACTTCCACACATGACACAACCTGAAATTAACTGAAGCAAAATATATACTACAACTTACCTGATTTGGATTTTTACAGATATAAACTCTTCAGAAATAATGTAGTTTAAATTTCAAATCTGCCCAAAAATTCCACTATAGCCTTAGTATTGGAGACTGGAGCTCTAAAAGTGGAGAGTTAGATATGGATCTCAATAATATTTTATAATCTTAAAATATTTTCTCTGAAAAATCTAATATCCAGCCATAAAATCTCAGTGGAGGACATGGGTTATAATTCTACTAAAAAGTGTTCAAAAATAGCACATAGGTGATGTACAGTTGAAGCAGCAGCTGGATATAGCGCTAAAATATACTGCTAACTGAAATTTTTCACAAATTCATTAGATTATTGCTATTCCCTATGAAGATCTAAATGTTAGAGGTAATTTACTTTAGCCTACTGTAATAGAACCACAGCTTCAAAAAAATTCCATGTGAAGGATTACATCATTATCCCTATGACATAAAAACAGTAGACAATACTATTCATGTATGTAATACATTTACAAAAATCTGAGGGCAGGATTAAATTTCTGCTATTTTGGAAATTTGAGGGCAAAGAAGATGAACTATATATTTACCCATTTACCGTTTGATTCTTGTTCAGTGTTATGTGCAACAAAAACACACTCAATTTCTATATTGGTAGAATTGCTGAAGATGCTGAAGAGGTTTGTATTATTTTATGTAGCTTTTATATTGCTATGTATTAGTCAGTGATTATAAATTTAAATGAGTTGAATTCTACACAATGGTTAAAGGGCCCAGAAGATTTTTTTTCCTGAATTTTTAATTACCGTATTTATCGGCGTATAACACGCACTTTTTCCCCCCTGAAAATAGGGGGCAAATGATGTATGCGTGTTATACGCCGATATAATGTTAAGAAGCCTTCGGTGAATGCTGCTGGGATCGGGGATCAAGGACACAAATGAAAGAAGGGGAGGGAGGAAGCAACCGAAGCCTGTCCTTCTCTCTGGGTCAGCTCTCTCAGTCGCTCTCTCGCTCCTCCACCAGCACAGGAAGAAACTGCTTCAAAGAAGCGGGGGGGGGGGGGCTTTTCCTGTCGCCTTTCTCCCCCACCCCGTCCGCCCGCCCGCCCGCCCGCAGTGCTCCGTTCTGCCTGCCTGCCTGCCTTCGTTAATGGTTGAATCGGAACAGCTTCGGCTGAGTAAAAGAGGCGAATAGTTATTATTCTCAGCCGAAGCTGCTCCCAAACAACCAGAAACTAAGACAGGCAGGCAGAATTTTTTTTAATTTTTTTTCCTGAAATTTCCCTCTTAAAATGAAGATGCGTGTTATACGCCTGTGCGTGTTATACGCCGATAAATACGGTAACAAAAATTATAACTGTAGTAATACAAGCCAAAAAAGGAGGATTGAAAGAAAACACTTCCAAATATTAGAATAGATTCAAAAATTCCTATTTGTTGGAGATTACAAATTTTCCACTGAGCCCAGTTTATTCTTTTCAATCACCTATTGTTTAATTATGTTACTGAATATGATGTGAAGCAGGAAATGCCAATTTAGCAGCCCAGTTTCTTGGATCAGCGGTAGGCTGTTTTTCTCATTTCAATAATTGTAACACTTTTTGGGGGTAGAGGAGGGAGTTCAGTAGCAGTATATATAGCCTCTTCCTTGTATTTGGGGATGTTCTTCCCTTTAACCTGATAATCGCAATACAAAATTATCAGTGTGCCTATGTTGAATTACTCTTTCGGAATAAGTATACAATATTGTTCTGCAACATTTTGAAGATTAAAAAATAACACTGATGATGTTGGGTAATGAAACGTCTGCAAACAAACAACCAGGCCCAGAGGGCGTAAGGACTCCACAGATAGAAAATATGTTAAACATTAAAGGACATGATGGCCATGATATTGTTGAGCAGCATTCTTGTGTTTAGAGTTCATAAAAAGTTACCAATGTGGTATTTCTTTCTCATGCAGTTTATTTATGTGAATCAGTCCTTTGCTCCTTCACCAGATCAGGAGGTTGGAACACTATATGAGGTAACTATTGGTTTACAAAATTATTTCTGTTTCTTATAATAGGATTTAAAAGGTCATTTGGTGCTAGAGAGTGTAGTATTTGGGGCCTGGATACCAACTTTTAACCAAATTAACCAACAGTCTTAATTCTAAATCCTCATGTAAAGGCAATAAATGTTCAGGAAATTTGGTAAAGATTTCTACAAATTGTGTGGCTTTTTTTTAATTTGGAAGCACCATATTTAAGGATATGGTTTAAGAGTACCAGAGCTCTGACATGTTTTTAAAATGTATCACACCAAAACAAATAACAGTGTAATCAAAACTGTTTAAAAATGTATTGTCAATAGATGGCAGGATTTCACAAGAAAATCTGTGTATAACTAACTGAACTAACTACAATAAAATTTGCTAATATAAATTTTAATTAAGTATTAACATTTGTTGCTTCGTTGCTTGTTAAACTTTTTTTTCTTGTTTTCTTACAGTGTTTTGGAAGCGATGGCAAACTTGTATTGCATTATTGTAAAACTCAAGCCTGGGGATGAATTAATAGCTATAGTTGCTTAAGACTATTAGATAGTGGATTGGCTAAAATAATCTTCAGAGACATTCCCCATGGACAAACGGAAGAAATATCTGCACTACTACTTTTTTTCTTCTTCTCTTTTCTCTGTGTCAGCATAGGAGAAAAGTACAGAAACACATACTGAAGAATGTTTATAGTACAATTTCTTTGATGATTTTCTTGCAGAAATTAATCTGCCATCTTTACAGCTGAATTTAGCATTTATTGTTCCAAGACTTGGCATGTCTGTTTCTGGGAAACAGGTTCATGCCTGATGTGGAGAGTACATTTCACCAAAGCTGTGTGGAGTTTACGGTCTCGCTCTTTGAAGGAACTTTATTGTACATGGAAAGCTTAAAGCATCTACATCTGAGATAAATGGATGCATTTTCTATTTGGTCTTGTCTGTGATTCTTTATTTTAAATGCAATTTATCACACACTCTAAATCAAACATGGCAGTAAATGTTCTCACCTTCATGTATTTCTCAGTATGTGCTGATGAGCACAACTCTGGTCTACACACCCTCTATTATAAAACTTCATTTCAACTTACAAATTTTGTTTCTTTTTTGGTTTTAAACAGAACTTTGCCAAACACTACCTTCACAAACACAGAGAAAACAAATTTTCTTGTAATTTTTGCATTCTTTTTTGAAGTCTATAAGTGGAAAATAATCACATTGCTCTAATTAAGCTCAGATATAATCTTCACACATTAAATTTCAGAACCACTTCAAAAACAAACCACATTCTGCATGCTTTCTTATTCAAGGTATAAATATTTTTTCTAATGTGTAACCTTTGTTACGTCTTTCCATTTGTATGTTAATTAACAGTAATGGTTACATATAGTACACAACAAAAGGATTTAATAGTTGTGCAAAAAGTATGTGGGTGCATGTGTGCACATATGTGTGTTGATACAGTCTGTGTGTTGTACCAATGAGTCAGAATTTGTTCATTCCGGATCAGTATAATGGTACACAACTTTACTGCACCGACTTTATGCTGAAATTTCAGCTGATGATGATACTGCCCTCTCTTGGTTGCCATGCCAGAAGTATGAATGATGTAAGTGGGAGCTTATCTTTCTAGCTAATGATTGACTTACTGAGTTTTGACAGAAGAACTTCAAACAGTTTTTGTTTGCTTTGGGATTTTGCACCTGTTTTCTCCTGCTGCAATATTATTTTTGGCCAAATTTAGAGGGCTATAGCTGGCCATAACTGCATCACTTCACCTTGGATCACACACCCCCGATGCTTGCACAAGCCGTGCTAAATCATAATTCTATTATTTTTGGCCAAGTTTAGAGGGCTGTAGCTGGCCGTAACTGAATCACTTCACCTTGGATCACACACCCCGATGCTTGCAGAAGCAGTGCTAAATCATAATTCTATTTTTCAAAAAAAATGTTACTGTACCTACTGTGATAGGAGGACAATCCTTCCCGGGGGCCCCCACACACCCCCAAATTATTATTTCGGCACTTTTAAGCAAGCCAGAGAAGGATATGGAAGTGAACTAGTAAGCAACCTGCGGTGTCGGGCGCATTCCCATTATTCGAGCGTTATCGTTTTGGGTTCTCCGGATCCCATGACTATTGCCCCACGAAAAGTGGGAATTAAAGCTCCACTGACGCGCAAAACGAAGTGGGGTGGGGGGGGGGGTGAAGAGAACGAACAGACGTGACATCTCTTAAGACTTGCAAGGTTGCTGGATCGAATCGGGAGGCTTCGCCTTCTATTGTAGTTGTCAAGACGAGCAATAATTGGTTACATATGAGGATCTTTGGGGGCCGAGACCTCCTTCCTTCTACCGTTGCTGAGGCCTCTCGTTGTGCATTCGCCCCACAGTTCCGTGAGCGCTGCAGAGTTAAAGAGTTAGGACCTTAACTTGTATGAAATGAGGCCGGAAAGCAATAAGAGAAGCGTTTTGGAAAAGCGGAGGGCTCCCAAAAAGCAGCTCCTGGATCCTTTGGCGGCGACGCTGGGGGTGTCTTTTATTTTAGCTTGCCCAGGGACCTATAGCTGACTGAAAGGACCGAGTTGGTACCTCCCTCTGCTCTCCTTAGATATTTGGTACGTTCCTCCTCCGAGCGCCAGAAGACAGAGAGAGAAAGAGAGAGGCGAGCGAAGCCGGTGCGAGCGTGCAAGGGTGGAGAGAGCCGAGCTTTCATTGTCCATTCTAGCGGGAAGACTTTCTTGCAACCGAGCGGCGGCCGAGAGTTATGGAGTACTCGATGCAGGGAGAAGTGTGGAAAGCGCAGACCTTGAAGGAGCTGATCGAGATCCTGCATCACTTGTTTGCGAGCGATAAAGTCAGTGTGGCAGAAGTGCAAACTTTAATGGAATCTTATGAGAGCAACCCAGAGGAATGGGCCAAATATGCCCAGTTTGACCAATTCAGGTAAATGGCGGTGGGGAGAGGAAAGGAATGCCTGCTACGCCGAGATGTAGCCTCGGAGCTTTATTTGCTACTGAAGGCAGAGAAGGAATTGCGTTTGGTGCGCAGCCCTTAGATGCAAACCCGTTCCCTTCTGTTGCCCCCTCCCGATTTATTTTGTTAACGCGGATCACGTTACACGTATCTAATTTGCAACTTTCATTAAAAAAAATATGCAAAGCAAAATAATGTTTTGTTACCAACCTGGTTCCCATGGCTGCGACTGAGATTAAGTGGGATTTTAAAATAAAAAAAAAGAAAAATAACTTGGATCGAGGGTGGGCCACGCAATCCAGCGCTGGTTGGTAATTTAGAAATGAATGGGGTACCTTAGAAACAGCTGGGGAGAGATGCATTGACAAAACTCCCAGGCTGTCTAGCCCAGACCTACTTGCAGTGTGACCCTTTTTATGCAGCAAGACCCTCTGTGGTTCCCATTTCGGGGAATCAAGGTGGCACCTAGACTAACCAACCTTTGTGTCAAAGGAGATCGTGCAAGTTTTGTCCTGCGGTTGCATCTAATATTTTAGGGGGGGTGTCTGTGTTACCTGCTCCAATTTTTCTACCAGTTTGTGCATCTGATTATTAGGTGTGAAATTATGTTGATCACCTGGTTTTCCCTTTTCAAGAATTTCCAAGAATTTCTTCATTTATACATATTATATCTTGAGGAATGCATCTGAAAGGGAATTTGGAGCAATATAACCATGTCTGTTGCAGAAGTGTGAATATAATTTAAAAGAATCTTTGGCTGTCTAATAGACATGTAGACTGATGGCTGCCAAATGCAATTGAAAATCATATCACACAGGCAAACTACAGTACAACCTTGTATTTCCCATGTAATGTGGCAAAGTTGTTATACTTGATTCTGATGCCAGTTTGATTCATAATCCATAGGATGTACTTATAAATTGCATTCACAAATTTCCTAACAAAATTACATGTTGTATGAACCCAGCCTGTATGGTTAGTTTCTAGCGGTATGTATTTTAAATCGAGGAACTTCATATGAACACAACTATCCGGTTGCAATTGTCCCAACTTTGTGTTCTCTCAGTAGTTACTGTCATGTATGACTGCAACAGGTATTGGATTCTCTTTCCATATGGGATGGAAATGAGGATTAGACATCCTCACTCTGTAGAGCTATTTGACGTGTGCAGGTTGATTTTAAACAAAAAAGAACTTTGTCCCTCTGACCTTAAGTAGCCGAAAGCTGAGTAAACTGCAGCACAGTTGAAATATGTGAATGACCGTGCACATTTGTGAATAACCACTATAATAAAATTGTTATTACCCATCATTTATGCAATTCATTCCCCTTGAACCTTATGGTTATCACCTACCACCTTCTACTTCCACAATCATATCTGCAAACTTATTTCTGCTTCAATAGAAACTTCATGTGTATGGTTAATTAAGTTTTAGTCTAGCAAATGTTGTTATTCTTTAGGCATTGTGAGACTCTTTGTGGTCTATGTCACAACAGTCCAATGGGCATATTTCTCTAAAAGATGATAAGAAATATTAAAGAAAAAAATAACCAGCATCCAGTGATGTTGAGTATAGCAACATAATATCACGTATATCGGTTTCTGCAATACAGTAAGTAGGTAAATACATGCAGATCCAACTCTCCTAGCTTGTAGGGATTTGTGAAATAGTTCTCTAAAGCAGTGGTTCCCAAACTTTTTCAGTCCACCGCCCCCTTGGTGCCACAAACTCATCCTCAGTGCCCCCCACCCAGGGGTGGGATTCAAATTTCTGTGGGCGTGGCCTAATTTGAGGGTGGGGCTTGCTGGTCACATCTGGGTAGGTGTGATTTGGTGGTCATGTGACTGGGTGGGCGTGGCCAGGTGACTGGCAAACTAAATACAAATGGTTCTCACTTAATGGCTGGTTGTTTAGCAAGTCTTCTAATTTATGACTGGCCTCTCCAGAGATACTTGACCTGTTTTTGGAGTTTTGACAGAGTTTTGACATATATACACACACACCCATCTAACCCTGCTGGAGCAGGTCATTGCACTAGAATCAGCAAAGCATCTCTGATTAGATTCTAGCAGTGAATAAAATCTAATCAGAGATGCTTTGCCGATTCTTGTTGATTTGTTTTATTTGTATCTCTTTATTTTATGTTGCTGAATTGTATTGACGTGTGTCACTTCTTGTGCACAACCCAGAAGCTTTTGTGATTCTTTGCAGCAAAAATTACCGACCTCTGGCTTTGCTCTACTTTTCAAACATGCCGACACTGCCGCATTCTAGGTGCCGGCCCCCCACAGGTCCACCCCATTGAGCCCACTGCACTGGAGGGACCTGCCCAAGCAAGTCAAGTCAATGGGGTGAGCCTGAGAGAGGGAAAGAGAGAGAAAGAAAAGAGAGAGAGAGAGAAAGAGAAGGAAAAAAAGAAAGAGAAAAGGGAAAGAAAAAAAGGGACAAAGAAAGGGGGTGGTGGAAGGAAGGGACAGAAAGAAAAAGAAATGAGGGAGGGAGGGAGAAGACAGATAATGAGATATCTATTCTAGTCCAATCACCTGCTCCAGCAGGGTTAGAAGGGAGTGTGTGTGTGTGTGTGTGTGTGTGTGTTCTTGTAATTTACCAGTACATTTTGGTTTTGCCTTCTTCAGAATTGGCACTGTAATACATTGGGGAAAAGTAATTTTTAGAATGGAGATCTGGTCCAATGGATCCTATTTAAAGCCTCAACAAAATGTGAGAGCTTCCTGATAGTCTTGACCATGATTTGTCCACAAAACCTTTAATAGAAGCCAAAGAGGTTTCAGTGTGCTGGCAAAGATGTTTCAGTGTGGAAAAGGGCCTCAGTCTAAACTAGGCCTCATTTCAGTCTGATGCATCAGGTCTCTCTCTCTCTCTCTCTCTCTCTCTCTCTCTCTCTCTCTCTCTCTCTCTCTCTCTC